TTGTGGGAGACCTGGAAAAAGCTCCTGGCTCCTTGCTCCTGGCTTCGGATCGGCACAGCTCTGGCTGTTGCGGCCGATTGGGGAGTGAACCAATGGAAGGATGACCTTTCTCTCTGTCTCTTCCTCTCACTGTCTGTAACTCCACCATTCAAATAAATAAATAAAATCTTTTTTAAAAATGACTATAATAAAACAAGAGTATATTTTATTAAATTAGTAATATATAAGGAAAAAGTAGTGCTGAGTTATATGGATCCTCCAATCCAGATGATTGTTTCAAATATGATTTTTCAAAGGCCTGCAAAAATTACTGTAGAGATGAGTGAAGATGTTTAAGCCTTGCATAGGGAGAGAGTATATCAGTGGGGCCCACAGCTTCAAGACACAATTAGTGAGCAGAATGAATTTTGTTTCACTTACCAAGGTGGGGCGATGTATTTAATGCTTTGATTCCCACAATTAATCAAGGTGTGGAGTGTTTTATTAGAGTGGATACTGTAGTGTATTTTACTCCCTGGTAAAGCAACCCTTAAAAATGTTTTTATTCTGTGAGCATATGATTATAATTCTAACACTGAGCCCTCCTGTTGCATTAGCACTTCCTAAGTGCCGTCTGTGGTCAGCATCTTGTGGGAACTTTTTAGGGATGGAATCAGCCTCCACCCTACACTGGCTCTATGTTTTAACAAGATTCCTGGGTACAACATGAAAAGTGTTGGTGTGCAGCAGTGGTTCACATAATGGTTCCTAGACCAGCAACATCAGCGTCACCTGGAAAATTGTTAGAAAATGCAAATTCTGAGGCAGCACCTCAGACCTACTGAATCAGAAACTCTTGAGATTGACACCAGCTGTATGTGTTTTATAAAGTGCTGTAGGTGGTCCCAGTTCATGCTGAAGTTTTAGAAACACTCTACAACAGTGTATTTCAAACAGTTTTGATCATGATCCATGGTGAGAAAAGCACTTTACATCGTGACCCAGTGTGCATATACATATACATATAAGCTTTATAAGACATAGTTTATCTTATTCTCCACTTACTATACTGGTATTTTGGTATTTAATCTATTAAATATATGTGTGTGTAAGCTTGCATACATAAAATTGTGGTCATGATCCACTGAACTGATCACATGAGCCATTCCTGGGTCATGAGTTTGAGGAGTGCTGCTCTTGCATAGGGTCTTTTAACCCTTTTGAGCCATAGCCCCTTTTAATAGTCTGGGAAAGCTCTGGATCTGTTGACAGAATAATTCCTCTCTGCTGCCTACCCTTCCCTTCCTGTTTGGAGACAGAGAGGGAAAGAGAGAGGGACAATAACTTCCAGCTACTGTTTCACTCCTCACACGCCTTCAGTGTCTGAGGTTGGGCCAGGCTGAGACCTCCGGATCTGAAAACTCACTCTAGGTTTCCTACAGGGGTGGCAGGAACCCAATAACTTGAGCCATTAGATACTGCCTCCCAGGCTGTGTTTTAGTAGGAAGCTGAGATTTGGAGTAGCATCAGGACTCGGAACAGGCACTTGGATATAGATGCCAGCATCTCAGTTGTCATTCTGACCTGTAGGCCAAACACCTGCCCCAGGAAAATGTTTTCAAAGTGCATGTAAAAATATACATAGAGTTGGGGCTGGTGCGCACAGTGCAGTAGATTAGTCCTCCGCCTGTGGTACCGGCATCCCATATGGGCCCCAGTTCTAGTCCCAGTTGCTCCTCTTCTGATCCAGCTCTCTGCTATGGCCTGGGAGAGCAGTGGAGGATGGCCCAAGTCCTTGGGCCCCTGCAGCCACATGGGAGACCTGGAAGAAGCACCTGGCTCCTGGGTTCGGATCAGCACTGCTGCGCCGTAGCGGCCATTTGGGGAGTGAACCAATGGATGGAAGACCTTTCTGTTTCTTCCTCTCACTGTCTGTAACTCTAGCTGTCAAATAAATAAATAAATAAAGTTTTAAAAAGCTTTAAAAATGTTAAAAAACATAGAGTTGTAAAAGAAATTCATAATATTGACTGCCTTTGATATGATTTATATATTTCTTTACTGATAACAAGATTAAATCGTGGGTCTAAAATCTTGTTAACTACTGTCATTTCAAACTAGGATTAAGTATAAATGATATTTCAAGATATGTGCATTAGCTTATGAGATATGAAAATGAGTATGATTTCTATTAGTGGCAAAGTAAACTGCTCTGCTACTACTAATACTGTGCTTTGTTACCTGCATTCCCACGGGAGAAAAACTGCTAAATTTCAGCTTAAGGGAAATAGAAATAAAAATGTATTTTCTCTTTCCTCCAACTTTGGACTTCTGGGATTCTAATGATTCACCTTTCCTACTCCCAACAATGGATCTGAAGTTAAGAGCAGTTCTAAAGAAATTAAAGAACCATTCTCAAGCTTTAAGTTGAGACTATAAGCCAAAAAAGTTAGTTTCCTGTGATTTCCTAAACCTTTGCTTCATGGATGGCATCTTTTTTCTGATTCCATCGTAAAACTTTTCTTTAAAAATTTCTTCTATCGTGTTTCATGGAAGCCTTGGGAGATCACCTGGAAGACCACGTCTAAGCTGCTGATAAATGTTCCTTCTGTAGTCTCCCCGGCCTAGTACATGCGCCTGCCCGTTCAAGTCAGATTTCTGGGTTGTCAGCCTCAGTGCCATGGGTTCTGGATTTAGACTGCATGGATTTGAAACTTTAAGATGCAGTTTTCTAGCTGTACAACTTTGGGTGAATCACTTAATCACTCGTTGCCACTTTTTCTGTTCAGGATGATAGTGTCTACCGTATCTACCTTGTTCTGAGTCTTAAAGGAGATAGTCCATGTGTTGCTTTAGAACTGTGCCTAGCACAGTAGTAACTGTTACCCAATATAATTATCCTCTATTTCTCCATTTCCCTCATTTCTTAAATTTAGTTTATAGAAAGTTACATGAATTCTCCTTGCGAAATGTATTTTAATTCATCTTTGTTTGCCTATGTCCATTGCTGTCACTCTATTCTAAGCTTCCAAACACTCTCATCTGTCTCTGAGTTCTCTGGTCTCTTTCCAGCCCACTTTCCGTGTAACAAGCATAAGATCTTTTAAAAGTGTAGGTGGCTGGCGCCACGGCTCACTAGGCTAATCCTCTGCCTGTGGCGCTGGCACTCCGGGTTCTAGTCCCGGTTGGGGCACTGGTTCTGTCCCGGTTGCTCCTCTTCCAGTCCAGCTCTCTGCTGTGGCCCAAGAGTGTAGTGGGGGATGGCCCAAGTACTTGGGCCCTGCACCCCATGGGAGACCAGGAGGAAGCACCTGGCTTGCTGGCTTTGCATCAGCGCAGCGCGCCAGCCGTAGCGGTCATTTGGAGGTGAACCAACAGAAGGAAGACCTTTCTCTCTCTCTCTCTCTCTCACTGTCTAACTCTGCCTGTCAAAAAAAAAAAAAAAAAAAAAAGTGTGAGTGAATAGTTTTCTACAAATGTTAACAAATGGCTGTATTGTAAACTCCTTCAGTGGCTTTCCATGAAACTGATGGAAGCCCTCCTCCCTTTATCAGAGCCACACACCTGTGTGCTGGGCCCCTCCCTTCTCTCAGAGCGGTGCTGTTCTCCCTCTGCCCCTGTTCTGTGGCGACTGGGCCTTCCTCTCTGTTACTGGAGCAGGCTGGTCCTTCTGTTTTCCAGGGCCACGAGTGTGACCCTCCCTCCATTCAGTCGGAGGTGCCATCCTTCCTGGGCTTCACTTCCTCCGCTCTGCGAGTACTGGATGCTCACAGAGCCTTTCCTAACCTCCCTGCCTAAATTAGGGACCAAGTTCTTCTTATACCAGCCCGAATCTCCCCAAATACATAAAAAATTTAATATTTCCTGTCTGTTGGGGAAAACGATATTATCTAACATACAACACCAAGAGGTGTGTGCACTTTTTTCAGACAGATACATTTTATATATAATGAACACTAAATGATGATACAGCTGTTTTGGGAAATTGCTAACAAAATTGCACATGCCAGCTCTTTGATACGGTATTGGAGGACAGAAGGGGCCTACACTTGAACCTGTCTGCAGTGATTATGATTGGGCCTTCTCACTGTTGTCTCTCATTTCTGCTGCAAAGGAGAGAATAGAAAACAAAACATTGTCCTCTTCAAAGTGGTTACTTTGTTGCTGATGAAATCCTATTCCTTTTCCCCAAAGTAATTGGTCAGTTGCTACTCAGCCTTGATAGAAGATATCTCACAATCAGAAGATAGAAACCAGCATGGGTTTGGATCTGATTCCTGTTTGAGTTAGAGAGGAAGAAGAATGACAGTGTCTGGTTTAGGTCAATATCTTTGTTTTTGAAATTTCTTCCTTGTTACTTATTCTAAAGCAGTCTTAGGCAGGAGAAGGGAGGCACTCCTGTTTTTTTGCCATTTGCCTTTAGCAGCTAAGGAGGTGGTGGTAGCAATTCAGAGTCATGTTGTGAGCCACTTTCCTGTCACTTTTTAGCTTTTTTTTTTTTTTTTTAATAAGAGACTTAGGGATCACAAAGGACACTGGGACAGATGCTAACTTTAGGACACTTGTATAAATGGAATGCTTGGCAGTTCTAGTCTCGGCCCTGTTTGGCTGAATGGTGTTCCTGATTAATATAAATGTGATTTGCTGTGGGGAAAGACTAGTTTTTTGTTGGTATACTCTGACAGAGCAGTATTCTTATTACAGACTGTGAGTAATGGTAATTATGTGGAAAATGATGTGTTTAAAAGTAAAATTCATAATTAAAAAATGTCTAACATAGTCCTGCCCCCAACCAGGCCAAGTTATTATTTTTCTTATTTTCCTTTAGATGATCATATTTATTTTTTTCTGTAGTTGCAGTCATGCAGTGATAACTTTGAATTCTGATTTTTTTGTCTTAGACTTCTCAAATAGCATTCAACCAGGTATATATGTCTTAACTGCTTAATCATTCCCGTGTTGAGTGGTTAATTCTAAGATGTATTTTTCACTGATGTCTTTATTTTGCTCTCTTTTTGCAGGCAGAGACATTTGTTTGGGTTAACAATGCATCAGCACATTCCCAGAGTGTTGCCAAGGCCAAATATGCATTTTTATTTGGCAGATCTGAAGAGAAAACTCCAGACACTGGTAAGTGTTTCCCAGTCCCTCCTTCAGGTGAAAGATAGGAAATGCTGTTTATTTCTGAGTGCCTTTTCTCCATTTCTTACTTCTTTCTTACCTCTGTGAAACCCATTTTCTCTAATTATTTGTCGAATCACCTTTCCCAAGATGTAAAATTGAGGAATTATCAAATGTAGTGCTTGTAGGTAGTTCTAGGTCATTTCATTTATTTTTTTTTTTTTTAATTTTTTTGACAGGCAGAGTGGACAGTGAGAGAGAGAGACAGAGAGAAAGGTCTTCCTTTGCCGTTGGTTCACCCTCCAATGGCCGCCGCGGCCGGCGCGCTGCGGCCGGCGCACCGCGCTGATCCGATGGCAGGAGCCAGGAGCCAGGTGCTTTTCCTGGTCTCCCATGGGGTGCAGGGCCCAAGCACCTGGGCCATCCTCCACTGCACTCCCAGGCCACAGCAGAGAGCTGGCCTGGAAGAGGGGCAACCGGGACAGAATCCGGCGCCCCAACCGGGACTAGAACCCGGTGTGCCGGCGCCGCAAGGCGGAGGATTAGCCTAGTGAGCCGCGGCGCCGGCCTCTAGGTCATTTCAAATTGTGTTCTTTGTTTGTGGAATTCTCAGTTTCTGGTATTTAAACATTCAAGAATTGACTTTTTTCTTGTAATGTTTCCACACTTCCTAGTGCTGCATATTTCTACTCCTTTATTTTTGGTACCTATTTTTAGCTACCAAAATATTAACTTGCAGCATAATTTTGGGGAATTATCCTGGCTCTTGTTTAAAATTGGATTGGTCTAATCTGTTTATCAAATTCTGGTATTCTAGAATTATATACAACACCTTTCAATTTGAAGTAGGTAAATTTAGGACAAGTAGAAGAACTATTACTGGTACTAATAGCAGTAATAGTTTCAACTAAGTTTCTTGATTACTTGCAGTGTACTATAGCAGGTACTATGCTAAGTGCTTTGCCTTCAGTATCTCATTGAATCTTCACAAACTGGTACTAGTGTCTCCATCTTCCTGATGAGGAATCTGAGATAGTCTTCTGGTTACAGTCACTCACGTGTTAGAACTGGAACTTGAATCCCAGACTGCCTCCTGCTCCAAAGCTGCTGCTCTCAACCTGTTGAGGCACTACATTTTGACGACATTTTCCTAACAAGAGGAATAGAATAAAAATATAAACAGCTTTATAGTGTCTCAGAACTTTTGCCTGTCTCTGTGGAAGACTGATGTTAGCATACCTTGGGAGTTAGACAGGAAAGGGTGATTTCATATGCGTAAGAGCCTGGGTGAAGAGCCAGGCTTCCGGGGTTTGCACCATGGCCCTGTGCTTTCCAAGGTGTGTGACCTTGTGCAAATCACCCCATTTTAGTGTTCTCACCTGTAAAATGGGATTGCAGTGACAGAGCTCTCAGGATTCTTTTGAGAAATAAGTAAGTTGATGTGTAAGGACCTCAGGATTCTGTTTGGCTTGTAATGCTGTAACAATGTTTGCTGCTAGTACTGTTGTTGTCGTGCTGTCGTCATTGTCTTCCTGCCCTGACTCTTGAGGCTGACATTTAGAAGCACAGCCCTGACTTCCCTGAACTCTCCCATCGTCTGACACTCATTTCTGTTAGGGAGACCAGGAGTTTGAGCTAATGTAGCTGCTGTTTGACTGGAAAAGCTAAATGTAACTGTGCATTTTTGACTTAGATAATAGATGGGATCATATAATAACATTAATATTTGGGGATGTCAAGAAGGCAATGCACACACCCCCTTTTAATAATTCCCCTTACCTTAAAAATATTTCTTAGGTATTTCAATAGTTGGGGCTCTTGGATACAGTCTAAAACAGTTAAATTATTTTTAAAAAATCATTTGGCTTTCATCATAGTGTCCCAATTTAGGGGAATCGATTTCATACTGTATCTCTGGTACTGATTATGTAGAATAGCCATGTGTGCTATTGTTTCATGTGCAATAATTACCTGACTATTCTGGGCTTGTGGTTTGGGGCACTTAATCATCAATTCACTATTTCTCAGACAGGGGATATTGATTATAGTCACCTGAAGAGTTTTAAACTCCTCAGCATAACCTTATGTTTGAGTGCTACGTTGAGATTTTGTTCTGATTAAGCGTTTTTGAACTTTAATAAAACATACTTTTAATTAGCCACATGGAGATAAGATTACATGTAATAGAGTCTTCTGCCTCAGTAACGGGTGAGCTTGGTTCTTGCTTAGTCAAGGATTTTAAGTAGTTTTCTTTGTTTTACCAGCTTGGTTGTGTCATACCTGAGGCAAACTAAAATAGCATTTAAATTCCTTGTTCTTTATTTGCCTTGTTAAAAATGATTGGCAGTGTTTATTTCAGATGTCATGTTATTCTACAAGTGTAAAAGTATGCATACAATTATCTAAAACACACACACATATATATGTAAATATGATTTATTTATTTATTTGAGAGAATGACAGAGAGAAGGAGATACAGACACAGAGAGATCTCCTGTCTGCTGGTTTACTCCCCAAATGAATGCAACAGCCAGGTCTGGGCCAGGTCAAAGCCGGGAGCTAGGATCTCTGTCCTAATCTCCCACATGAGTGGCAGGGGCCCAAATCCTTGGGGCATCTTCCATTGCCTTTCCAGGCACATCAGCAAGGAGCTGGGTCAGAGATCAAGTAGCAAGGACTTGAACTGGCGCTGTAATTTGGAATTCTGGCATTGCAAGCAGTGGTTTAACCTGCTGTGCCACAGTGCTGGCACCTGAACAGAGGTATTTAGTGAGAACCTAATATGTGTTGTGGGCACTATGAGGGTGCAAAGAAATAGAAAATATGATTTATTGCCTGCTAGTTGATTATTTCTTGGTTGAAGAGAAACATCCTATCTCCAAATAACTTATTGGAGGGAACGATTGCTTTTAGCTGAACTGCTGATGACATCATGGAGGAGGTGGAAGTTGCATTTGGTCTTTTTTTTTTAAGATTTATTTTATTTATTTGAAAGAGTTACACAGAGAGGAGAAGCAGAGAGAGAGAGAGAGAGAGAGAGAGAGAGAGAGGTCTTCTATCTGATGGTTCACTCCCTAGTTGGCCACAATGGCTGGAGCTGTGCCGATCCGAAGCTGGGAACCAGGAGCTTCTTCCAGGTCTCCTGCGATCCAAAGCCAGGATCCAGGAGCTTCTTCTGGGTCTCTCACATGGGTGCAGGGGCCCAAAGACTTGGGCCATCTTCTGCTGCTTTCCCAGGCCATAGCAGAGAGCTGGATATGAAGTGGAGCAGCCAGGCCTCGAACCGGCACCCATATGGGATGACAGCGCTTCAGGCCAGGGTGTTAACTCACTGTGCCACAGCGCTTGGTCTGCATTTGGTTTTTAAGGATGCTTAGAGTTCTCATTAGTAGAGTTCCTAGGGAGGGAATGGCCTGAGCAAGGGTGTAGTAGAAGAGAGTATCAGTTATTTGAGGAATTGGTTGGTTGGCAAGCATTGTCAGTGAGAGATAAATTCAGAAAGATTACATTTAGAAAGGGGCTGTGTCATATTGAACCCTATAAGATAGAGTAAGAGTTTGCATTTTATTTTTATTTATTTTTAAAGGTTTATTTATTTATTTGAAAGGCATAATTACAGAGAGATAGAGAGAGGTATTCAATCCACTGGTTCATTCTTCAAATGGTTGCAATGGCCAGAGCTGGGCCAGTCTGAAACAGGGAGCCAAGAGCTTTTTCCAGGTTTCCTATGTGAGTACAGGCACCCAAACATTTGGGCCATCCTCTGCTGCTTTCCCAGGCACATTTGCCGGGAGCTGGATTGGAAGTGGAGCAGCCAAGAATAGAACTGGTACCCGTCTGGGATGCTGGCATCACAGGCAGCAGCTTTACCCACTTACCTCACAAAATCAGCCCGGGAGTTTGCATTTTAACCAAATAGGAAGATACTAAGTGACTGAAATCATGTTTTACATAGATATTCAAGAGGGGTTGATCTGGAAATTGGACCAGAAGCAGCAGAGCAATTGCTTAGTGCTGAAAGTGTTAAGATACAAGTTCATACGGACTTTTGGGAAGTTCACTTTGTAACCTCACGAAGAATTGGTAGATATTTCCAAAATGTTCTTGAAAGTTCCTTTACATGGGCCATTTATCTTCCCTCAAAACATTGTCCAAACTCAGAATACTCCAGAGATCATGGAGAGAATAGGACAGTGTTTCTGTTTGAATTTGATGATGAACATATCTCCTGAACATAGAATAAATGGGCTAAGCCAGTACCAGAAACTGTCATTGACTTTTTTTTTAAAGATTTATTTATTTAATTGAAAGTCAGAGTTACACAGAGAGGGAAGGAGAGGCAGAGAGAGAGGTCTTCCATCTGCTGGTTCATTCCCCAGATGGCTGCAATGGCCGGAGCTGCACCAATCCAAAGCCAGGAGCCAGGAGCCTCTTCCAGGTCTCCCACACAGGTACAGGGGCCCAAGGACTTTGGCCATCTTCTACTGCTTTCTCAGGCCATAACAGAGAGCTGGATTAGAAGTGGCACACGGACCAGTGCCCATATGGGATTCCGGCACTGCAGGCAGTGGATTTACCCACTACGCCACAGCGCTGGCACTGGCATTGACTTTTGACTGTTTCATTTTTAGGTGGTAGCCTGTTGCTGCAGCTCCCATGCTCTTTCTTGACACAGTGACTTAAACTAAGTGCTCATGAAACAGTCTGGTGATGAAACACCAAAGCTGTCAGTGACTTTTGAATGCATCCATAAAATGTTCCGCAGTCAGAGGCCTGGTAGAGCCAAGTGAAGTGAGGCCAGTTGGTTTATGATCCTCATATCTGAAGACAGTGTCACTTCTGGCTCCAACTTTGTCAATGAGCCGAAATTTAACCAGGGTTGTGGGTGGGAGGGTCTAGGAAAACAGTTCAAGATTATTTTTAAGCTTGTTTAGTACAAGGCTTTTGAATCAGTGACAGGACCTTAGGATATGGGTTGGGATGTGGGAGAACATATGATCAGTGGAAAG